CCAGAGATCAGGGTGATCCCTGATCTCCCTTCCTTCCGCCGCGCCCTTAAGACATGGTTATTCCAGCTTGCAGGACTGGCCTAGGGGAAATTTTTAGAGGGGGTTTTAATTATATTTTAATTAGATCACAGTTAAATATTTCCTTTTTAATTAATTTTAATCTTGTAATGTATCTGTGTATTTTTACTCGATTGTTAGCCGCCCTGAGTCCGCAAGGAGAAGGGCGGGATATAAATTTAATAAAATAAAATAAATAAAATAAATAAATAAAATAAATAAAGAGCCTCTTGATGCGGGTGAAGAAGGAGAGTGCAAAAGTTGGCTTGAAACTCAATATTAAGAAAACCAAAATCATGCATCCGGCCCTCTCAATTCCTGGCAAATAGATGGGGAAGAATGGAGGTAGTGACAGATTTTATTTTCCTGGGCTCCAAGATCACCTCAGATGGGGACTGCAGCCAAGAAATTAAAAGACGCTTGCTCCTGGGGAGGAAAGCTATGGCAAATCTAGACAGCATACTAAAAAGCAGAGACATCACACTGCCAACAAAAGTGCGTATAGTCAAGGGCATGGTTTTCCCAGTTGCAATGTATGGATGTGAAAGTTGGACCATAAGAAAGGCTGAGCGACAAAGAATTGAGGCCTTTGAACTATGGTGCTGGAGAAGACTCCTGCAAGTCCCTTGGACTGCAAGGCGTTCAAACCAGTCAGCCCTAGAAGAGATCAACCCCGACTGCTCTTTAGAAGGCCAGATCCTTTGGCCACCTAATGAGAAGGAAGGACTCACTGGAGAAGGGCCTAATGCTGGGAAAGATTGAGGGCAATAGAAGAAGGGGACGACAGAGAATGAGGTGGCTGGATGGAGTCACTGAAGCAGTAGGCGTGAACTTAAATGGACTCCAGAAGATGGTAGAGGACAGGAAGATCTGGAGGAACGTTGTCCATGGGGTCGCGATGGGTCGGACACGACTTCGCAATTAACAACAACAATCATTAATATTGATACAAAGAATTTAACAGAAATATTAGTAAATAGATTGCAGTAAATAATAATGTTTACTATTAAAAATGATAAATTCAATATTAAATGCTGAAAAAGCCTTTGACAAAATACATAACCAGTACATGATTGCTGTACTAATAGATTTGGATTTCCTTTTAAATTATAAAATGGATTAAGGTTTTAAATGAGTTGCCTACAGTGAAGGTTAATGGAATGTTTTCTCCTATTTTTCTACTATTTAGAGCAGGGTCCCCAACCCCCGGTCAGTGGACCGGTACCGGGCCATAGCATGCCGGCAACTGGTCCGCACAAACAAGCAAAGCCCCATCCATGGGATGCAGGCAGCACACAAAACCATGCGCTCTCCGGTCTGTGGAAAAACTTTTCTCCACAGAACCATGGAACCAGTCCCTAGTGCCCAAAAGTTTGGGGACCTCTGATTTAGAGGAACCCGACAAGGTCTACTTTCACCTTTGCTTTTTAATATTTGGCTTGTGTAATTAAATAAAATAGGGAGACCTACAGAATAATATATAGCTAAATTGAACACAAATTTTATTTGCAGATGACATTCTTTTGTTTATTTCTAAACCTCATATAATATTCTAATGTTGATGCAAAAGATAGATGCCTTTAGTAAAATAGCAGAATATTCAATTAATTAGTCTAGATTGGAACTATCAGTGAAAATTTTGTTACTCATCCATTCAAGAAATAATGTTATTTCTTAGAGTATGGAGTTCTAGATTACTTTTTCTCTGGAATGAAAAAAGCTAGCAAAAAAAAAGAAGAAGGAAGGAAGGACAAGTGAACGAGGCAAGTTTGTTTAGAGAATAGTTTGATTGAAAAGGAGGAAAAAGTATGAAATATAGGATTTACCTTGGCAAAGGCAGAAAAAGAGCTAGAAAGAAAATGCCTCCAAGATCCAAACAAGAAATAAAGAAACCTATTTCATTTTACTATTTATTTTGTCCTGTTTTGTAATATATTTAGGAAAAAAAATTAAGCAATTTTCCAAGGAACTTATGAGGCATATCTGAAAAACAATAAAAATGAAGGCACTAAATTATTAGAAGACTGCTATAATCTTAAAACAAAATTTTATAGTTTATAAAATGCATATACCGTATTTTCCGGCGTATAAGACGACTTTCTAAACCCTGAAAATCTTCTCAAAAGTCGGGGTTCGTCTTATACGCCCAGTCGTCTTATACGCCGGAAAATGCTTCTTCAGCTGGAGCAGTTGCAAGGGCTTGCATGGTCGCCGGCGGCGGGGAGCACGTCAGCGGCCCTTGGGGACCATGCAAGCCCTTGCAACTGCTCCAGCTGAAGAAGCAAGCGGCTGGGAGGCCGCGGCAGCACCTACCTCCTGCGCCTGTCAGCTGGCGACCCCCGGACCTGCGCCTGTCAGCTGGAACGTCAGGCAATGCTTTGGCCGGTGCGGAGGGCGAAGGGGAGGCCGCTGCAGCGCCGAACTCCTGCGCCCGTCAGCTGGCGACCCCCGGACCTGCGCCCGTCAGCTGGGAGGTCTGGAGACGGAGCCGGCTGGCGTGGAGGGCGATGGGGAAGCGGTGGCTCGGTGGGCGGGGTCCTGCCTGCGCGCGAATGTCAGGCCCACCCGCCCCATCTGTAAAAGAAAAAGTCTTCCGCCCAAGCATAACCTTTAAGGATTTTAAGGATCTTTGAGAGGGAGAGAAAAATATAGGGAGAGAAAGAGGGAAAGAGAAATAGAGAGAGGGAGAGAGAGAAAGAGGAGAGGGAGAAAGGGAGAGAGAAAGAGGGAGACAGGGAGAGAGAGAGAGAGAAAGAAGGAGGGAGAGGGAGAAAGGGAGACAGGGAGAGAGAAAAAGAAAGGGAGACAGGGGGAGAGAGAAAGAGAGAGGAAGGGAGAAAGAAAGAGAGAGAGGGAAAGAGAAAGGGAGAGAGAAAGAAAGAGAGGGAGAGAGAGAAAGAAGAAGAGAGATTAAATTAGTAACATGGCTGTTCAGTGAATCTGGTTTCCCCATTAACTTTGCTTGTCACAAGGTTGCAAAAGGTGATCACATGACCCTGGAACAATGTGACCATCATAAATAAGAATTGGTTGCCAAGCATCCAAATGTAAATTACATGACCCTGGGGATGCTGTAGTGGTCATAAGTGTGAAAAATGGTCATAAGTCACTTTTTCCAGTGCCGTTGTAACTTTGAACAGTCACCAAGCAAACTGTTGTAAGTTGAGGACTACCTGTACTTTATCACTTTTTTCCATTTTTTTTTTTGTCATCAAGCTTTTGACACCTTGCTGGGTGACTGGTGGTACTCGAATGTTGCCATATTCTAAAAGTGNAAATGGTCATAAGTCACTTTTTCCAGTGCCGTTGTAACTTTGAACAGTCACCAAGCAAACTGTTGTAAGTTGAGGACTACCTGTACTTTATCACTTTTTTCCATTTTTTTTTTTGTCATCAAGCTTTTGACACCTTGCTGGGTGACTGGTGGTACTCGAATGTTGCCATATTCTAAAAGTGGTACAATCGGTGAAAAGGATGAAAAGCCCTGGCTTAGAAAACAAACAGCATGGCACTCCCATGGGTTTATTGTCTTATCCTTCCTTTCAGCTTTAGAATGAATTAGGAAAAGTTTAATCCACTTGCACTGTTTTATGTTTACATATTTGATGACAAACAGCCTTATGTTTATAAGTGACAGTTTTCCTGCTAAGTACCTGCATGTCATAAGCATTTGAATTAAAATTACCATATTGAAATCAAACCTGATGTTTTTTAATTTTTATTTGGTGTGCGTTGGAACAGGGGTAGTCTTATACGGTGAGTATAGCCCAAACTCTATATTTTAACTGGAAAAGTTGGGAGTCGTCTTATACGCCGGAATATACGGTATTTATGGCAAGTAGCAATATAATACATTGAACACACTGAATAGCTTTGACTTTTTAGGTATAGGATGAAGCATATTCCTGTAGAATACAAAGATTTCTACGTCTATCTCTGGAACCTTATCTTTGTTACAGAGAAAAAAGATTCATATGAACATTAATATTGGGTTAATAAATCTCTATTAATTTACCTTGAATTCTGTTACTGACTTGTACTCATTTGCTACAATTTTTTCTTTCATTGTACCAAAATCCATAGGATGTTTTATTATCATGGAATAGCCAGGAGCAATAGCATCAGTGACTGGAAAGGAAAAAAAACCATGAGGATCCTTCCTAAAAAAAAGCATAGAATATTATATTTAGGCATAATATTCCCACATATTAATGTCAATTAACAACTTTCTGCAATATGCAATATCTAAAGGCAAAGCCAAGGAATGGAAAATATAAAGAATTGAAATACAATCCCTAACCCACCGAAGTGCCAAAAATCGTAGAGCATCTAACACAAATAAATATCCGAGCATAACAAATATTCAGCATATGCCATTATTTCCACCTGGATGTGCAAACTTATGACAAAAAAACCCTTCTATTTTTGTTCCCAATGAAAGCAGAAGAAAGCAAAAAAACAGAACTTTGCATAGTATTTCTACAATCCTCCCATTCCAGATTGAGGGTATAAATTAACTGAATGGAAATCTCTTTCAGGCAGCTAAGATGGAGTCTATTATATTCAACTACATAAACCCTCCTTCCCAGGACCATCTGTACCAAAACGAAATGCCCTCAACTCCCATCTCCCTTCTCTAATGATTTTTGAATCATATACAGCTCTATTTCAAGATTTTTATTCCATTGTCCTTTGCGCTGATTTAATGGTCTTGGTCTCCCCTGGAACAAACAAGCTGAAGTAGCCAATGCCACCCAGAATCCATTTTGGGTCAGCAGCAATGGGGCGTTGTCTTACCTGAACGCCTTTTCTCAGCATGAGGATGGATAATCCACGGATTGGGTTTCCTGAAGTCCCTTCTACCCAATTAGACTAAGTCTGTGAGATAGCCACGCCTCTTGCTGGGTCACATTTACCCAGTTCCGACGAAGGCGAAAACCACAGACAAAGTCAGACGCGTTGGTTCCCAGACTCCTGCCACAGTGCCCATCAATCACGAAAGGGCGGGAGTGGGTTATCCATCCTCATGCTGAGAAAAGGCGTTCAGGTAAGACAACGCCCCTTCTCCAGCATAAGGATGGATAATCCACGGATTGGGACATACCAAAGCCTGCCTGTCCCTGGGGGGGGGTAACAGACAGGGCCTGTGATGCAGGAGACGACACAACCCTTTGTAATACTCTATGGCCAAAGGTAGCATCAGCAGAAGCAAATCTATCAATTTAATAGCGACGGATAAATGGGGAAGGCGATGACCAGATCGCTGCCCTACAGATGTTGCCAATGGGCGCTTGAGCGGCCCAGGCCGCAGAGGTGGCCGCACTACAGGTAGAGTGGGCCGTGATACGCGAAGGAATGGTGAAGGACTGTGATTGGTATGCCCTGGCAATACAAGCCTTAATCCACCTGGCAATAGTGGAAGATGAGACCTTGAGTCCCATAGAGGAAGGATTGAAGGAAAGAAAAAGAGTCTCTGACCTACGGAAAGCAGCAGTCCTTTTAAGATAAATGCATAGCGCCCTGCGGACATCCAAGGTGTGCCATCTGCGTTCTAAGTCATGAGATGGTCTAGGGCAGAAACTCAGCAACACCACCTCCTGGGACCGGTGAAACAAGGAGTTCACCTTAGGAATGAAAGTGGGATCTAATCGCAGGGTTACGCAATCGGGGCGAAACAGGCAGAGATCCTCCCTGACCGATAGGGCTGCCAGTTCAGATATGCGTCTGGCCGAAGTCACTGCCACCAGAAAGGCAACCTTCATGGATAAGAGATTGAGATCACAGGATTGAAGTGGTTTGAAGGGCGACCCGATAAAGGCCTGTAAAACCTTTGAAAGATCCCAAGAGGGGTACCGATGAACCATTGGAGGTCTAGTATTAACTGCTCCTTTGATGAACGAATGGATCATCAGATGATGAGCTAGTGAGGAAGAGTCATCACAATAAAGTACCGTGGCCAAGGCCACAACCTGCCATTTGATAGTACTTGGAGACAGACCCTTATCTATCCCATCCAGTAAAAATTGTAAGACCTGAGGCACAGTGAGAGATGACATCTGGACATGATGCTTGGACATCCAAGACAGAAAATTCTTCCAAGTGGAGTCATAAACTCTATTAGTTGATGGACGTCTAGACGCTTGGATCATATCAATGACCCTGGGAGGATAAGCGTCCTCAGTCAGACGTCCCCGCTCAAGTGCCATACAGTTAACTGCAGCCATTGAGGGTCGGGGTGCTGGAGCACCCCTTGACTGAGCGCTATTCGGCCCATCAGTATCCTCCATGGGATCGATACTGACAGGCTCATGAGGTCAGCGAACCACAGGCGCTTCGGCCAATGAGGGGCTATGAGGACCACCTCCGCCTTCTCCTGCAGAATCTTGCGGATGACGGCCGGAAGGAGAGGGAGTGGAGGAAAAGCGTAGAGAAGGCCCCGGGGCCACGCTATGCGCAGAGCATCTACTCCCTCCGACCCTGGTGACGGAAAGCGGGAGAAAAAACTTGGAAGTTGGGAGTTCGCTGCTGAGGCGAATAAATCCAGAACTGGATGGCCCACTCTGTGAGATATTTCTAGAAACAGAGCTGGATCCAGACACCACTCTGAGTGATCCACCGTCGCCCTGCTGAGAGCGTCCGCCTGCTGGTTGATAGCTCCCGAGATGTGATCCACCTTGATCGAGGACAGATTGGTCTCTGCCCAAGAGCAGAGCAGTCTGGCTTCTGTCATTAGGGAACTTGATCTGGTGCCCCCTTGACGGTTCACATGGGCTTTGGCCGCTATGTTGTCCGTGAGGACGAGAACGTGCTGGCCTCTCATTTTGTGACTGAATTGACACAACGCCAGGTGAATTTCCCTGAGTTCCAGCCAATTTATATTGTGTTTCAAGTCCTCCTTGTACCATCTCCCCTGGGCTATCTGAGACTGGAGGTGAGCCCCCCAACCAAAGAGATTGGCGTCTGTGGTGAGAACGATCCATGACGGCTCTCTGAACTCCAAGCCCCTGGCGATGGCCCAAGAGCTCCACCATCGGAGTGAACTCGATACTGGGGGAAGCAATCTCACCAGCCTGTTGGAGGATGCTAGCTTTCGCCTCTGAAAGGGGAGGAGGAACCACTGAAGGGCTCTGGAATGTAGCCTGGTCCAGGGTACGATGGCAATGCAAGAGATCATCTTGCCTAAGAGCTGGGAGAGAGTAAGGAGCGGAACCGCCCTGGCTCATTGTACCTGGTGGACAAGGTTCCTGAGACTGGCTTTGCGATCTGGTGACAGGTAGACCATGCAGTGTGTTGTATCTATCACTGCTCCCAGATGAAGGAGCCACGTGGATGGAATCAGCTGGCTCTTGAGGAAATTCACTGAAAATCTGTGGTTCTGGAGTACCTCTATGGTACGGGCCACCTCCGACCGTGCAGCCTGGACAGACACCGATTGGATGAGAATGTCGTCCAGGTACCACTGGATCCGAATGGAATCCAGTCTGAGGTGGGCTGCCAGAACCGACAAGATCTTTGTGAATACCCTCGGGTTAGATGAAAGGCCAAACGGAAGTGCTCTGTATTGATAGTGATAAGATCTGTAGCAGAATCTGAGAAAACTGCGATGTGGTGGAAAAATTGGTATATGTAGGTACGCCTCCGTGAGGTCGATGGACGTCAGGAGGTTGTTCCTTCTTATGCTGGCCAAAATGGATTGCAGGGTTTGCATTTTGAATTTTTTGTATATCAGATAAGAATTTAACCTTTTTAGATCCAGAATGACCCTCCATCCTCCCGAAGTCTTTGGAACCACAAAGATGATTGAGTAGAACCCTCGCCCCCTCTGATCGGGAAGGACTGGTTCTACCGCTTTTATTTCGATGAGACGGGAAATGGCCTCCATGAGAGCCCGTTTTGACGGATTTGAAGGTGTCGGACACTGAATGAATCGGTTCGCCGGTTTCGAAAGAAACTCCGAGGTCAGGCCGTTGGTGACGGTGGACAAGACCCAGGCGTCGGTGGTAATGTACCCCCAGTTCTGAGAGAACAGGGAGAGCCGGCCGCCTAAGGGGGGTCCCCCCCTGGAGTCACTTATTCCTCCAATAGGGACGGCCCCCCATGCCCCGAAAGGGCCGCTTAGACTGTGGTTGCCTGGGCTTGGGCCCAAAGCGATCCGTTTGACGGTCCGATTTGGGGGGAAAGGAACGTGTAGGTTGTGACCAGTCAGACCCCTGGGTGTTGCCTCGGAAACCCTGTCTGCGATAGAAAGGAGCAGACTTTCTGTCCGATCGTCTGGCCTGGTGAACAAGTACCTTTTTCTTGTCCTTGTTTTTTATCAAGTAGGGCTTCAGGGCTTCCCCAAACAATTTCCCGTCAGAGTAAGAAGCGGTGACCAAGCACCCTTTAGATTTTAAATCTGTCATTGCTTCAGCCAAAGCAGTCGCCTGGTAGAAACATTGGCTGCGATCGCCCTGGCTGAAAATCTGGCGGTGTGCAACCTGGCATCGGCCGTGTATTCAACTGCCACTAATAACTTACCCAACGTTTGATGGGCACGTACCTGATCCTGTGGGATCATGTCCTGAAGTTCCCGGAGCCAAGTGATAGAAGACCGTGAGAAGAAAGAGGCTGACGTGGAAGCCTTTACTGCCCACCCTGATGCTTGATATGCCCTTCGTAGAGCATACTCAGATTTCCTCTCCTCCGGTCTTAATACTTCCGCCATATCTCCAGCAATGGTGGAGTTTGAAAAAATGGGAGTGAAGGATGTGTCCACAGTTGGGAACTCCAGAAGGGTGGTTAAGGATGGTGCCACGCTAAACAGTTTTTTGTCAGAAGACCCTGGGACAGGAGAGGCCCCAAGATTGGTCCATTGTTTTCTTACCATGTTGGCAAAGAATGAAGGGCAAGGTATATGCCTTTGAGTCACCATGGGCTCAGCAAACAGAGGATTTGATGACTGACTGGCGGAAGGCGTGGGTTGTGGGTCTGGCTCTGGGGCGATCTGGGATGTAGCCGTGGCTTTGGCTAGAATGGTCTTGAATTAAGTGGGATCAAAGAGGCCTACAAAGGGGGAGGGCTCCTGAGGAGCATCCTCATCGTCCGATAAGGCTGTCCCCCATGATTCATCAACTTCCGAATAGGAATCCCCACCCTGTGAAGATTGATCGGAAGCAATGGA